TTTATTCATACCATATTTAAAGAATAGTGTCCCAACAGTCAATGACAACATGAAAATATCAGGTCATTAAAAAAAAATAAAAAATCTTAAGTCAAATAAATTTCTGTTGTAAAAAAAATACATTGTTCTATTTTCTAATTTATCAGCAAGAAATTACTTTTTGTGAGTACAATGTTTTATAACAGGAACTTTAATGGTCAGAAGTGTCGGGGGAAAAAAACAAGTGTCTGTCAAAATTTAAAGTTGGAGAATGCAAAGTGGTCTTTCAGAGTATTTAACTATATTACAAAGTATATAAGTTTAAATTCAAAAGTATTAAGGATGACACACATTCCTCCTAAACACTAGATGGCAGTATGGCTCATTTATGCATTAACAACAACCTCACAAAGCTGGCCTGCATTCATCTCCAAAAGCCTGTCTGTATATAGATAAAAGTATTTTGTTGTTTTACCTGCTGGTATTGCAATGCAGTCTTGAGATTTAGTGTTTGCACATTAAACAAAAACTTTCTATTTTATGGTTTAATACAAATTACTATTTCACACAAACACGTGGTGGTGAAATGAATTAATTTTGAATGAAGGTTGTTGTTTTTTTTGGCAAAATTAATTTTCATTATTTGACTGCATAACCAACAATGTGTGGCTTGATCATAAAAAACAGTGGGGCTTGGATGTGACGTAGCTGCAGGTCAGAGAAGCCAGCTGCCTCGAGGTGCTTCCAAGTAGCACGGGTTGCCTCACAGCCATCACCGAAATAGTACCTGACAAACAGAGAAGTATAGACTTTCTTACTCTATAGATGGTTTCAACAGCAATAACATAAACAAACGTTACTGCGCACGCGCGCTTTTGTGGCCCTAACTTAACTTCCGGTAGACCTCCAAATAGAATCAATAACAGCAGCTAAGTAGTCCCTCAAGAGTAGATTATTTTTGATAAGCAAAATATGTTTGCTGCGTAAATCAGACGGACTTGTTGAAAATGCAAATTCATTCTCTGCCAGCAGGAGGTGCTGGCAGAGAGAAACCGAGGTTTCCCCAGTAACAGCTGTATACAAAGCAGTGCTGAGCTCACAAAAGCTGCTTTATCAGGCATATAACATGCAAGATGAAATGAAAATGACATCGAACATTTTCTAAAGATAGTCTTCCTTCAGAAATACAGTGATATAAACACCTGTGCCTCGTTTAGATTCTTATATATATATATATATATATCATATATTAATTATACTCATCATCATATATAAGTCAAATACATGTAGCATTTTTTTTCCTATGGAAAATATATACAAATTTGTCAGATTTATAAAGAAAAATAATCAACAGGGTAAGAAAATGATTGTACTGTATATTCTCTGAAACCACTGCAGAGTATGCTGGGGTCATATCGTAGTGGACATTCAAATATAATGTCATAAATCTATGTTTCTAATTCCAGGTGGCTGAATTGGTGACCAGTGAATTCTTTGAACAAGGTGACAGGGAAAGATCAGAGTTGAAGTTGACACCGGCTGTATGTATTCACTTACCAACAGATATCTCTGTGTTTTAAAATGAAATTTGCTGGTTTGTCAAATTAACAATTAAATTTTGCTCTCTCCTATCAAGGCCATTTTTGATCGTAATCGTAAAGATGAGCTTCCTGTGCTTCAGTTAGAATGGATTGATGGAATTTGCAAGCCATTATATGAGGTAAAACTTAAGTAGATAAAGCAAACGAATTAACTCCAGCTAATTAACTTTTATACAGTGATGATAATGTATTTTATAGGCTCTTGTGAAGTTGAATAGGAAGCTTCAGCCGATGGTAGATGGAATTGATGGCAACCGAAAGAAGTGGGAGGAGCTTTGTCGGTCCTATCAGCGAACACGCAGAGCCTCTGAGTGCATCTTCAGTCTGGAGGCTGGAGAGACAGAATCACATCAGAGTTCAGACTCCACCCTCGAGCCAGAATCAAGTCAGAGTGAGGTGACCAATCAGAGCGAAGACTCCACCCACTGCGTGGAGCCAAATCAAGCCACGGTAGCCAATTACAAATAAGAGGCGTGATGTGGCGATTAAAGGACGGCCCACTGAGTCAGGGCTTCCCAAACTACTTTTTCCTGAACCTCTTATGCTGAGATTAAGTTAATATTGTAATATTCTAACAACAGATTTGCATATTCAGAATTATCTGATTTTGGATGACTTTATTTAACAAATCTTTTTTTAATAAATGTTTTATTTTAAAATTATTTATATACAGGGCTGCACAACTTGTCCAAAAATGTCATATTGCATATTATACTGCATTAATTTGTCACCTATGGCGATTTTAAGAGTGATACCTCATATGAAAACATCTTATATTGCTGCTGATGAAACCATCTAAGACCCCTTTCAGGGTCTTTATTATTACTGTTATTTTTATTATTATTAGTGTGAACACAAATGATAAAAATGAAGTCATAAATGACTGATAATTATGAAAATAATTTCATATACACTAACTTTTTAATTTTACAAGTCTTAATTAAATTGCAGCTTTGGATAATCACACTAAGCTATATCATGATTTCTATTTAATTTTGATGAAGTATGCAGCCCCATTTATTTATTTAAATTTTAGATTTGATTTAATTATTAGCTTCATCAACTCATGAAACCCTGGCGTTTCTAAAACCAACATTTGAGAAACCCTGCACCGAGTAATGACGACTGACAGCTTTCCTATGTTTATATATGAAAAAATTTGTTTCTAACCAAATTTTTGTATGTGGGCTGCTTTGAGATTGACAGTATTTCTATTGAAATAATTTCAAGCATTTACAGCACAATTTAAAAACATTATGAAATGACTATCACTGGTTTTACAAAGAAAATATTTATTAAGAACCCATATTTTTGAGATTTTATCGCCGAAAAAAAAAATATATATATAATGGAATATGTGACAAAACTGTGAACACGTGCAGGAAGTTCAGGTGCACAAATATTGAATGTGAGAAATAGCAGTGTTTCAAAAGCTCAGATGTTGTTCAGTGAGTCTGTGCTGCTATATTGCAAGTTACAAGTTTGCTTTCACAAAGCCTGGCATTACATAAAGATAAAACAGAGTTGCTGATAGGATTCCTATGCTTCAGATGCGGAAACTGAGCATTGATTTGATGAATGTATAAATTAATATCACTGTGATCTTTTGCTGTTGTTTCTTTAGACTTGCATGGAAGCACTGGAACACTGTTATAACTGCTGATTGTGCTATATAATTTTATATTGAACATTATACATACGCATTGTTTAATGTTTATGTATGCATCTGTGGTCTCTTGTACCTGTCAATCAGGTTCTCGTAAAACAGTATAGGCCACATTTTTACACAAGATTGCATATCAACTGTTCAAGTGGCAAACAAAAGATTATCCAGAATGAATGTGATGTCAAACCAGCTATTAGGAATTCGCCCTTGATAGCTGATTCCTAAGATGAACCAAAGTCAATTCTCACAATACTAAAAACCTGAATTTGTTGCATGCAAAACTGAAACCTGTTGTTGGCATGTGAGTTTTAGTGTTTAAGTTTGTTACATGTTACAATTTAGTATGTGAACTTTGCGTTTTTGAAATGCATTGCAAATGCCATGAGATGCATGCTGCAGAGCTTTGACAACAGCAGCTTTCTGCTTTAAATGGGAGTTAAACTCTCAGGTTGTGTTGCAGTCGTGCTACTAATGTTTTTTTTTATGTGCACACAGTCAGATTATGCTCTTTCAGTTCAGTCTGTCTGCCTTATTCAAATGAAATGTAATTATTTTTGCATTTATTTTCAAATGAATTGACATTTTGAAAAAGAAAAGAAAACCATTTATACTCATACACTAAAAAAGAAGGCCCCAAATAGCTTTATATTTTATTAGCTAACATAAAATGCTCATATATCTATGGAAGCTTGTTTCCGACCACATAAAAAATAAATAGCACTTTTTTTTAATATACGTTTTATGTACTTACTATTATAATAACAATAAATTATGCATAATTACATGCAAGTAACCCTAAGACAAACCCTAATCCTAACACTAACCATATAGTAAATACATGTAGTTAATTAATATTACTCAGTACTTAAATGTATAATTACACTGTAACAAGGACACCTTAAAATAAAGTGTAACCAAATATTATTTTATAAAATATTATATTTTTTAAGGAAATAAAAACACAATTTGGACTTTTTTCCTCACAATTCTGAGCTTATATATAAACAAAATCTAAATGGCAAGATATAAACTCAAATATATATTCTGAGAAAAAAATGGTCAGAATTGTGAGATATAAACGTGCAATTGTGAGGAAAAAAGGAATATTTGTAAGATAAAAAAGTAGCAATTCACTTTTTTTTTTTTTGTTCTGAGACAAAAAAAAAATTGCAAGATATAAACTGCAGAATTATGAAATGTAAACCTCGACTTGAGGGAAAAATAGTCAGAATTCTGCATTTATACAGCATTTTGCAATTCTGAGTTTATATCTCATAATTCTGCTTTTTGCTTACATCACAGAATACAACATAAAATGAACTGCAACTTTTTTTTTTCTCTCTGAATTGCAAGAAAAAGTCAGAATTGAGCATTATAAAGTTGCAGTTACCTTTTCTTATTTTTTTTATTATTCCGACAAAACAGGCTTCCATATATATCATACTTGGTGCCTCAATCTGTCTCTTTTAGAGAGATTCTCATCCTGTATTTCAGTGGATCATATATCTATCAAATGCCACATGAATGACTATGATATACTGTGCAGTTTGTAAGGGGTACACAGGGTCTTTTCTTGCCAGACTGATTGCTGGTCATATTCCTCAGGCGGTTTTGTAAATAAAGAACACTGTGATGCGAGCGAGTGTGGCGATCCGTGATTGGCTGCATGCAGATGCTTTTGAAACACCCCTTAAATAATTAGACTTATGTAAATGCCTCGCATGACAAATACTGTGCTCACATTATCATTCAGAAACATACTATGTGCAAATGACTGATATTAGTTCATAAGTCATTTCCCAGCCTAACCTTTCATGCATATGAGTTTTGCATAATAGATATGCTGCAATTTGTAACAAGCCAAGCGCATAAACAGTAAGCATAGCTTATGTAAAACAGCATATGCATAAATATTTGGCCTGGGTGAAAGTGTGAGGACTGATGAAAGCGAGTGTTTGAAGTTGTAGCTGCAGAGAGAGAGAGAGAGAGGCTTTGTGCCGGACAAGCCAACTGATACAAAAGCAGCGTGGCCGGCTGCATCCAGCTCTGCTCTCTGTAATCTATTATTCAACAGGGACTCAGCTGCCTTCCTGAGGCTTTACAACCAAGAGAGAACAGGAATGAGGCAGAATAACTTCAGTTCTGTGTGTTTGAGCTCACAATCTCTGTATATACTCTGCCTTACCAACATATTCACAACCAGTTCTCTCATTTACCAGCTAACCATTTCCATATTGTATATTGTAATATATGTAAAAGAACCAAGGCTCAAGATTTTATAAATTTTACAAAATTCAACAGCAGAAATGTTATTTAACATTTAATTACACACCTTAATAGCTTATACAAACATTGTTTGCAGCAAAATGGCCATGTGCCAGATTTGCAGACTTTTTACAGATTTAAACACAGATTTACTAGTATGATTTTGGACTGTTTATTGGACACATGCACACACACACACACACACACACATAAAACATCTAAAAACTAACAGTATAGCAATGCACTCTTAAAAAAGCAAAACTGTTTTGCAGTAATGCACTAATGAGAATACAATCTTGTTGAGTAATTGCATGGGGCTTCATCACAGTTGAAAATTATAATGTTATATGGCTATTTACATAATAATAACAGTAGTGGAATAACAATTACATTCACCAGAATTTTTGAAAAGCTCCAATTTATTTTTGATACTGGATCAATTTGAAGAAATGAAACACTCTAAACGAGAGGCAGTATATAATAGGCTATTAACATTAATGTATGCATAGAAACTTGACAATAACAAGTTAATTTTGCATAGAAACTGTTAATTTCTATGTCTGTCATAATAGCTTCCGGCTTTGCTAAACGCATAATAAAGAATCACTTTATTATTAATTATTCATTTTGTTGCTGCAGTGCAACAGTTAATAGGAAGGTTGGTATTCATCAATAAATCTTGTTGAAATATAAATAAAATAAATAAATCTTGTTGAAAAGCAGTCTGCATGTAGTCTGCTCATGCCTTTAGTATTCTTAAAATAATAATGTAATGGATACAGGCCATAAATCTGGATTTGAAAACAAGTATTCACAGCAGTTACGAAATGTATAAATCAAAATATAATTTGAGAAAAATGCAGTGGTTTAATGTTTTGCTCTTTTTACAATTAATATGGCTTAAAAATTGGACTTAAACCTAACATTTAAGGTGAAAGGTCAAAACTTATGATATAACTTTGGATCTAGAGGTTTACATTTTTATTCCCAAATCCCAACTGTTTTTAGTTCAACATTTTGCCATAAGCGATTCAACATTAAAGCAATGCCTCTCCGAGCGCATGGGCCTCTAAAAGTCATTTTTATGTGCATCTTCAAACCCCTGTGGTTTGAAAAAAAACAGTGCATTAAATAAAAACAAGCTCTATGTTTCACGGTACAAGCTGAGATTTATAACCGCACATATGAAAGTCAAAAAGCACACTCTAGAATTCCCAGTAAAGTTCAGCTGGCCTATTCCACAGGATGCTACGGCTTCAGCTTGAGTGCTGACAGTAGAATGCATCCAACTCTGTGTGCTCTTAAACTTTTTGACAGATAACTCGATATTAATTTGGCCCAAACTGCCAGTGTCAGGTTCGAGTTCAATGATTATTTATACTGAAACAATACAGCAAGATCCTTCTGCTGTAGCTTATATACTGTAAGTATGTTGCTCATGTGGTCTTCCCTTGAGGATGAAAACTTGCTTTCAACCCAATTCCATGCCTCTCACACCAGCTTCTACGGCTCAATAGCCTTTGTGTTATTGGCCAAAACTACTGTAGAACTTTTATGAAGATGCTCCAGTCCACAAATCAGTTACGGGTGGG